ATACTAATATATATAATCCAATAATAATTAATATAAATCTTATTCAATAAGATTGTTCGTTAAAAGTCATATCATGATAATATGATTAGTAATAACAATAACAAAGATTCTTTTACTTTATTCTTTTTACAAGTGAGAAATATTCGTTAACAATTAAAAATTCAAAATAACAAAAAGTAAAATACTTATAAATCCAATTTCAATAATTTTCAATACAGCGATTTGTTCAGTACAATATGATATAAAGCTCAATAATTCAATAACAATAATTTGTTTAGCACAATATGATATAAAGCCCAAAGTTAATAACAGTGATTTGCTCAGCATAATATGATATAAAGTAATCAGTGATTTGATAGGTTTAATATAATATATGATCACTTATACACAAGATTTGAAGTGTATAAAGAAAATATAAGAGACAAGAAGTATTTGAAGGAAGATTTTTGTTAAGAGAGATTTTTATTTTTAGTTACAATATGTCAAGTTAAGGCTTAGATAGCACCTTTATTTATACATTTTTCAAAATTACAAAAAGTGAAATAAATAATTATAAAAATATATAAAAGTGAGATAACTAATTATAAAAGTGAAATAATCTATATAAAAGTGAAAAGTGAAATTTCGAAAAAGTAAAAAATAAAAAGTGAAAAATTAAAAAGTGAAATAATTAAAAGTGAAATTACATATATAAAAGTGAAAAATAAAAAGTGAAAAATCAAAAAAGTGAAATAATAAAAGTGAAAAAATAAAAAGCAAAATAATAAAAGTGAAATAATATATATAAAAGTAAAAAATAAAAATTGAAAAAGTGAAATAATAAAAGTGAAAAAATGAAAAGTGAAAAAATGAAAAGTGAAATAATAAAAGTGAAATAATATATATAAAAGTGAAAAATAAAAAGTAAAATAATTAAAAAGTGAAAAATAAAAGTGAAATTTCTAAAAAGTAAAAAATAAAAAGTGAAAAATAAAAAGTAAAATAATAAAAAGTGAAATAATACTAAGGAATTTGTTGTTATTTGAATATTTTTGAAATTTTCATGTTTTTCGATTATTTTTGAATTTGTAATTTTTATATTACTATTGTAACAATACATTCATTAGCCCTCTGATATCAACGAGTTTCTGTAATGAACAGGAAAAAGCACAGCTATATACAGTGATAGATAGCATAAGATTGGAGCTATTTATTTTGTAATACTATATAAAGAAGTATAATTTGACCCTTTTACAGGCATCCTCTGCCAAAGTAAAGAATAATAAAATATCCCTACATCTGCATTTCATCCATGAAGCCATCCAGTTCATTTATTTTAAGATCAAGAAATGTGATAATCGGTAATTCATTATCACTTTTTATTAAGTGCAAAATGTCTTCCTTGGATGTGGTAACCAGAGATTCATTCTCACTTTTATATTACTTACTTTAACTGATAATTCTTATTTTCTCATTTTTACCCTACTCATCCACATAATATGCAAACCTTGCTTTTTTGAATAATCAAAACTTGGTGATATTTTTATTATCTTGTGATAATTGAAAAATATTATAGTTGACTTGTTTTAAATACATAATGATTAGACGTCAACGAAAAATAACTAAAATTCATTATAGCTAATGCATCAAACACATTTACTACTACGAGTAATACTATTCAATGCATAATTCATATCATAATCTACAACTTGACTTGCTTCCAAGAAATTATATTAATGTGATAATGGATGAGTATAATGGATGAGTTTCAAGATTATTATCACGAATGAAAGAATAACAGTTATTCCAGAAGACAGTGATAACTTTTTATTAAAAAAATGATAACTATTACATTTTTCCTTTTGCGATTCAAAATAATAAAATTATAGGAATATACTTTTCATGATAATCATGCTTCCTCTTCATAATAGCCTTTCTTTGTGGTTCACTCTCTCATAAATTGACCTAACTCTCCAAATACTAAATTGTACTGGTGAAGACTAGTTGATTTATATAGTCAAAAGAACATACTCTTCGTGATAGCCATATGCTTCCTCTTCGTATAGCCTAATTTATAATTTTATATAAAAAATTAATTATATTTTATTCTTTTTTAATTTAGGAAGTACTAATTCACGTGAATTAATCGGTATAGAAGCTTCAGAGATCGCTACTTGGATTAGGACAGAAATTTCTTTAAATTTCAAGCATATAAAAAAGGAATGGGTGTTGGGTATGTGAATAAATTAATAATATAATATATTATTAAATTAAGTCTAATTAAATTATTTACAAACTTTAGATTTGGATTTGTGCATTTTGAAACCATACCGGTTAAAGAATTCTGGAAGCAAGTACAAGGTCGGGATTATATCGGCGTAGGTGACAAAATATATCGATTTCGTCGAGCAGCTATTTATTATTCTTATTTAATTTAATAATATATCATCATCTTCATTACCACCACCGTCATCAAATGGATCAACTTCAATATTATCTAATAATAATGATAATGATGGTAATAATAATAATAATAATAATAATAATAATAATAATAATAATAATAATAATAATAATAATAATAATAATAAAGGCACCTGCATCAAAGAATCATTCGAATTACCTTCTGGGAATCAGGTGGAATTAATGTTAAAGATGCCGACTAAGTAAGTTTTTTAAAAATCTAATAAATTAATGTTTTATTAGTTTGATTCGAAATTTTTTAAAAATCTGCTAGATTAATTTTTTTTAGTATTAACACAGATGAAGTAACGACGCGATTTTATGGTGATATTGCGAAAATCATCCTTAAAAAGGCAACTCTAATATCATCGTCAGTATTAGCGTTAGATTAACATTACTATTATTATTGTAATTATCCACAGCCACTTATATTTTTTTCATGTATGTAGTAGTTATTGAACTAAATTGAAGTATTTAAGATGAGAATTTATTATCATACGGTTGGTGGATTAAAAAGTTTTGGATGGAGTTATAATTTTAATATTCCATGTCATTGACGCATTTGAGGAATGTGAAGGCGTCAAAAGTATCCTGCAGTCACATAATTTTTTTGTATTTTAGATTCGATGTTTTACATCATCTATATTGAAGATATATGATTACCTTTCTCAATTCCCTTTGAAGCGGAAATCAACTGATCCATCAAATTATGGTGCATAAAATCTAAAGTCATCAAATGTTTGTATTTTATAAAATGTATAAACTTCTTTACTAAGAAGTAAATACAAAATTTAATCCTTGAACATGATAGAATAGGCCTTTTCTGAGCATATTCACAGATTAGATTTTGTATTTATTTCTTAGTAAAGAAGTTTATCCATTTTATAAAATACAAACATTTGATGATTTTAGATTTTATACATCATATTGCATTCAAAAGTCGTATTTGATGTTGCACGGGACTCCAGGACTAAATAGTTTGTGAATCCGGTTATCTGTCCGAGAAACAAGCCAATAATAATGCGTAAAATTTGATCAACCCGGAAAAAAAATCCGAAGCACGAACGTAAAAATGAAAAATATGCTTGAATCGATCTTGAAGCACGTCGGTGAGGCAATTTTACTGGTAAATGTATTCTCTCGCTAACCTCAACTCTGACTCTATAACAACCTTTGGATAATTATGGCTGCGCCACTAACAATGTCACACATTCCAGGAGTGCTAGATCTTCGTTGAATGAAAATCTTTTTATAAAAATGTCAACCAAAGAGAAACCCGCGACTCAACCAAGCCGCAAGGGTAAGAAAGCGTGGCGGAAAAATGTTGATATTACCCAGGTCGAACAAACGCTTGAAGAGATAAGAAGTGAAGAACGAACGATCGGGTTAGTTTTAGTCATTACAAAATTATGTAATTCGGTATTTAGGAAAAAAGCATGTTGGATAGTTATTTTTTATGCATAAATAAAAACAATAAACACAGTGGTCGATTGCGAGACCAATCCAATGAACATCTTTTTGTGGTTGATACTGTTGGAGATTCAAAAGGTAATACTCGCATTCTCCATCAATTAAATATTACTGTAAACTTACTTATAATTGGAAATATAGTAAAGCAGAAGATCAAAAAACTACTACGCATCGATGAAATCCTCGCATCACGTAGTAAGATTCCAGCAGTCGCTTCAAGACCATCGAACCTCCAAAAAACGGGAAAGCGCCAAGCATCTCGTGCCGAAAACGCGAGATTAGAGCAAATGGTACATCGCAAACGGCATTTACACATGACTAGTGATTTGGGATCTAGTGAGGCGGTGAAACGCGCTGGAACTTATGATGTTTGGGAGGCGCAAGAAGGTTATCTTTCATTCATGTTTTTTATTCTTATTCACTTATTTTTTACTTGAATGAGCAATATTAATATTAATTATGAATTGATTGGATTATTATGAAGACTCTCAAGAAGATTCAAATGACTTTTTACATCCTGCTAAACGAAGAAAAATTAAAGTAAGCTCTAAAAAATCTAGCGATTTTCGCGATTGGGAAAATTCAGTCAAATTTTCACTTTCACACAAAAAAATAGGCACCAGAAACCTTGAAAAAGAAACCTGCAACAAAAGTTGTCTCTGTACATATACCACATCCCGGTGCAAGCTATAATCCGACTTTTGAAGATCATCAAGTAAATTATTATTCAGAACAATAAAATTAAAATATCGAATTCTTTTATCATTACTAACATCTGTTTACTAATTATTTGAACTAGAAATTACTTTATATAGCGAATGAGGAAGAAATTCACAAAGAAGAAGAATTAAAAAAATTACAAGAAAAACTTCCGAAATACACGGATGCATCAACTTCTGAACTAAATCCTCAAGATATGATTGATCGTAGTTTGCTTGGTTCTGGTAGTGAAGAAGAAGAAGGTGATGCTGGTATGGAAGGAGATGAGGAAAAAGAGCATGCAGAAGAAAATCAGAATCATACAGTCAAAAACAAGAGCAAAAACGACAATAACGGGGTAATGCGAAAATCGAAAGTACAGCGAAATAAAGAAAAAAGAAAGAGAGAAAGAGAAGTTGAAGAAGGAAAGAGAAAGGCGCATAAAGAACATCGAAGAGAATTACAAATGTATGAAACGAATTTTTATTTTTGTAGAAATATATTTTTTCGCTTAATTAATTCTTACGACTCGAATAGAATACCAGAAATCGTCCAGTCTATAGAAAAAGAGCTTTCAGAACGTGAAAAGAGAGCTATAGAAAAAACAAAACTTGCTGAAGAAAAAGCAGGGATGCCTTTAAAGAAACTCGGAAAATATCCGTAAGTCCACGATTACTTTTATTTATTGTCATTTCCAAAGAAATTTAATAATACCTCATATATTATAGAGTAACTAAACTACCAATTGACATACAATTACACGAGGAGTTATCCGATTCTTTAAGGACTTTAAAAGTACGTTTTATTTAATATAATTCAGTTTCTTTTTTTCAAACTTATTAATAAACATATTTTATAAATAACAGCCCGAAGGAAATCTCTTTCGCGATCGAATAGCTAGCTTAGAGGAACGTAATATCATCGAGCCACGAGTTCCTGTTTTGTATGTATTTTTCTGTTTAAAATTCTCAATTTTAAATGTATTTGTCTCTTAACGCCTTTTTTATTTAATCAATTAATCTCAATTCAAAGTACGCGACGAAAGTATAGACTCAGAGAATATGAAAAAACGCATTACAAGAATTTCAAATGATTCTGTGGCATATTTCGTTGAATCAATCAGTTTATAAATTGACAAAAATTTGTTTATTTCAATATACGAAAATTCGCAGATAATTCAGATTTGCAACACTGTAAATTTTTTCGGGTATACTGCATCACGAAAGTTTTACGAAAAATATTCTATCGCCTCTAATATCGATTTAATAATGCCCCTGGTTTCAAAGCTAATAACCTAGCGAATTTTTAAAATATATACAAATAATATTTTTATTGCCATTTTAGGGGGTCCGTTAAAGCCGTGTAGTTACACGTGATTTTTAATCCGATCCGGATTGCAACCATGTGACCAAATTGAATA